TAAGAAAATTTTTAAAAAGGGGGGTTCTTAATTTTAAAGAGTTCTTGTTTTTGACCTTTTACATTTCGGCCGACTAAATATATTATATAAAATATATATATTATCATATATATATATATATAATATAATAATATAATATTATATGCAAACAACCCACTCTGAAAAATAAGAAATTCCAGCGCTTTAGTGACACTCACATTATAAGGAACTATGAAAAAAAAGCACCCAAGGGAAAAGCTATAAAGGGGGTTGGCCGACCTCACATCAGACCCCACAACGGTTTAAACCCCTGACGGCGCCGCCCCAACTTGGATGTCCTTGGCACAACTCACCCCCAAAAAAACTACTCCCCAAGAAAAAAAATTTTTTAAAAAGTTTATTTGTCCAGTGTATTTTTAAATTCTTCCCAAATTCTATTAATTATAAATGATCAAAATTTATAAAAACCAAAAGGGAAATATTCATATTTTTGAAAAAACTGTTTTTTTATGAAACAAGATTCAATTTTTTTCCCTGTCGACAGGGATTTGCTTGATACTACTTTCTCCTTTTTGAAAATAAAATTGGTGGTTAAAATCTTTTACATGAATAAATAGAGCATTGGAATCTTGTCCGTTCAATGTATATTATGGTTTTAATTTTAGTTCGAGATTTTCCCATTTGGGGGACGAATAAACTTTACGAAAATTTTACAAGGAATTTATAGACACATCCACAGCATTTTGGGGGGGTTTTCTTTATAAAAATTTTTTTTTTTATGTATCAAGATTTTGAATACAACTTTAAAATAAAAAGTTTTAAGAAAGAAGGCATATCAACCCAGTTTTTTTTGGGTAAGGGAGAACCAACAATTTTTAGATAAAAAGGGGGTTTGTCCCTTTTTGGATTGAAAAAAAAGTTTTTCTAAAACTTTAAAGATTTACATTACATTTCTTGGGTATTTTAAATCATTACCTATTTCAAAAATTTTTGGATTTTTCCTCATTATAACCGGAAACTACAAATTTCGTAAAGCTCTCAAAAACATTGATGAAAAAACAGACAGTTTGCTCTATCTTGATGCGAGAATAATAGGGACTGGGAAATTTATTTGTAGGTTTTCTGTAAATTTTAAATTGAATTCTTATTCCCCTTTAATTAAAACTCTAGAAAAGGAAATGGTTTTTTCTTAAAACTCAACAGAAAAGTTTATGAAGGGGCCTAAGCTATTTAATTTTCCTGGGAAAAGGGTTGAATCTACTTTTTTTGGGCTTTTAAGACCAAAATATCATCAACAATCTGAACCATTTAGCTCATTAGGGAGGATGTGTTAAGTAACCTTGTTTAAAAAAATTTCCCATGTATGGTTACTAAAAACAGGTAAAGAGGATTTCCCCCTTCCCCTACCAAACTTTGAGTTTTAAAAAATTATCTTAAAACAAATTTGCATCAAAAATGCAAAGTTTAATAAGTTTAATGATAGTAGAAAAAGCAATGGGAATCATAGTTAACGAGTTTTCAATAAGAAACTAAAAAAACATAACAGGAAATTTTTGTAAACAAGGAAATAACATCAAAAACTAACCTGTTTAAAAAATTTAAATCAGTCAAGAAGCTTAATTTTTTTACCAAGTCTTTTTTGTTTTTAACATTAAAGTTTTGAAATTTTGCACAATAGGGTCAAAATATCAACAAGCCCTTTGGATTTTTATTGAAACGACCCCATGGAGCTAATAAAAGTCTGACTGGGTTCCTGGTTTGTGGTTTTTATTAGTCCTAAGTAAGGTTTTAAAATGGTAGTGGAGTAAATTGTTTGCTAATTCACTTGCCTTTCATGAAGTTTTTTGTTTTATTGAAATTGCTGTTAACGGTTTCTAGGGGATTTTTTCCCAAGTTTTAGAATAGGTTTCAGTATCATCTAAAGATTTTCATTTTTTTTTGGGAAACATTTTTTTATAATTACTATTGCATTTTTTTTGTTGCTTTATAAGGCGCAAATTTTTATTTTTTATTAAGTGTATCAAAGACTTAAAAAAATCTTTGAGGGGAATTGGGAATTTTTTTGGGTTTTTAAATAAGGGTATATCCATTTCCCTTTTCTAATATTAATTTCATCAGAGGAAAACAGAAAATTTTTCAAAGTTACAAAAAGGCTTTTGCAATTTCAAAATTATTAAAGTTTTTTTTAAGTTGCAAAAATTAAGCCAAAACCTAGAGCAGCAGTTGTTTGTTTGTCTAAAATTTCATCTGTTTAATTTAAATTTCAAAATTGTTTTAGCATCTTTTTTCCCAATCACTAAATTTTTAATTAAAAATTTAATTTTCTTTGTAGTTTGCTCTTGAGTTCATTACAAATTCTTCTGAGTTTATTATAGCAATGATCCAACATACAGTCTAGAAAGGAAAACAATATGATTTTCAACGGTGGCAAATTCAAACTGCTTACATAGGAAAAGAACGAAGAACTGAAAACGAGCACAAGACACAAAACGCAATAAAACCCTCTCAGAACTACGGGAAAATGTTCAGGACTAAGCAAGAATCAGACGCACCACAAATGGAGTGAGAAAGCACTGTATCAACATTCGTGGTAAAAGACTCTTCAGTTTGCTACCAACAGACACAAGAAATATTGCCGAGGTGTTGTTGAGGTCAGAACTTTGCTCACACCTCTACAACACAATTGGCATCAAAGATTTGTTAAGTTATACCAAGAGTCAAGGAAAGATCCTAGACTTCTCCTTACGGAACAAAGTAAATGCGATAGTAATTATGGACAAGGTAGATTATAGTAGAAAAATGAACATGTTATTATAAGACGGGAAACATACGTGCCTCTTAATCCTCTCAAACATAGCCAGAGTAATACTAGAATCCAAACTCGGAGCTAAATGGTATAAAACTACAAATGGAAAACGAGAATAAATGAAGGGATATAAAGAACGTACTAAAAACATCTAACAGAGACAGAACTCTCAGCAATGGATTCAGGTTTGAGAAATTCAGATTTAAAATGGATATAGCGAAGTACTATCTTGGTAGTAAAGTTACAGATGAGTGGAGAGTCTCTCATGAACCTGACTGGCTGCGAGATTAGCGCGTACGTCTTGCGATTAGTGGACGGAGGATCGAACCTCTTCTACTTGCGTTAATGTCTCACCTCTTTACGTAAATCGAAGAATAAGAATATAGAAAAGTGGAACAAACTGCTAGGTAGCATCAATGAGACAAAAATAAATTCTGTTCTTATTACAGTGAGTATTTCATTTAATATTTATAGACTATCATAATATAAACTTTCTGAATGTTATTATTAGAATACCTTTATTTAGTTTATATAAATAAAAATGTGTGTGTAACAATAAGTTGGAACCTGTGAACTACTACAAGCGAGGACCTGGTTTGGACCGGACTATCAATGAGAACTTGGAGTAGCTTCAAATGTGAGTATGGGTGAGAGTGAGCTGAACCTGCCTAGCATGGGTCAGTATTATTATTAAAAAGAAGCGCTAAGCCAAAAGAGCTATACATGGGTCAGTAGCCCTACGGCAATGCCCATTTTTATGTTCATGAATCATTCTAGATATCCTCCTTCCGCTTTAAGTATGTAAGTAAGTTTATTCAGGTATACACAAATACAGTTATATAGAATTATCATACATAGCAGCATATGTGTAGAGAACCTAGGATAACCCCAAAAAGTCAGACAGAGTGACTTATTTCCATTGGGGTCACTTATTACAGAAACTGACGTTCAAACTATTCAGCAGCAAGATACGAACCGAGGTCCCTGGTAACTTGGTACCCAATATATATACAGACTTTATTCTGATGTTTTAACGCAAGAGGATTAACAATGGGAGGAAGCACCAACGGGAGTAAAAAACCACAACAGTAGGAGGAGGAATAGGAACAGAAGCAGCCGTAACAGGAGTAGCCGCAGCGGAAGGAGCAGCCGCAGCGGAAGGAGCAGCCGCAGTGGGAGGAGTAGCCGCAACTGGAGGAGCAGTGGGAAGAGCAGCCGCAGCGGAAGGGGCAACCGAAAGCTAAAGGAGCAGCCGCAGCGGAAGGAGTAATCACAGCGAAAAGAGCAGCCGCAGCAGAAGGAGGAGCTACAGTGGAAGGAGCAGCCACAGCAGAAGGAGCAGCCGCAGCGGAAGGAGCAGCCGCAGGGGAAGGAGCAGCCGCAGCGGAAGGAGCAGCCGCAGCGGAAGGAGCAGACGCAGCGGAAGGAGCAGCCGCAGCGGAAGGAGGAGCCACAGTGGGAGGAGCAGCCGTAGCGGAAGGAGCAGCCGCAGCTAAAGGAGCAGCCGCAGCAGGAGTAACCGCAGCAAAAGGAGCAGCTGCAGCGGAAGAAGTAACCGCAGCGAAAGGAGCAGCCCCAGCGGAAAAAACAGCAGACAATAACATCAAAGGAAGTAATATCAAGAGTGTGAGAAGTAGTAGCAATAGTAGTAACAACATTAATAGTAGTAGCAGTAGTATCAATAACTGTAGTATCAGTGGTTAGTAGTAGTAGTAGGAATAATAGTAACAGCAGTAGGAGCAGATCGCATGTCACCCTGGCTGTAATAGTTGGAATCACCACTGTGGTCAACTTGTGATTGTTATATATTCATGAAATGCAAAATACACACACACACTGTGAGGTATACGTCTCAGTGTATGTACACTGAGACTTGAATTTCAGTTTTATTTATTAAAGTATTCTTGACTGATGGTGAACAGGTGGCATGCAGCTCTAGTGACCCTCGTGTAATTGATAAACCTTAAACTCATTAATTAAATCAACTAATAAACCACACGGAGGAACACCGTCCATCTGCCGCTGGCTCTAGTGTGACAAGTACATTCATGGAGAAGCACTAAACCCGTTGGGGTCATATATTGCCTGGAAATGGGAACTAAACAGTTTTGATTCCAGGAAGAGGAGAGCTGGAATTCTTTCGATCAAGAGCCAGTCACCGGCACCAAGGAACCCTTCTTGCAGGACGCTGAAACACTCATTATAATACACCTACCCGATTTGTCATTAGAAGTATTAGGCACAGCAGCTGCAAGTGTTTTTTGTGCCGGGAAGGAGGTTCTTGATCCAGGAAGATCCAGTGTGTGGGAGTACTTGCTGGCGTGGGCGGTGGGCGGGCTTGCTTCCTGCAAGGTGGGGGGTGCCGCGAGTGTGAGATGCCTGCAGGTGACAGGCATACAGGAAGCCAGCAGTAGGAAGGTGGTAACGATGATGACACTGAGGTTCCCACCTACCTTAGCGAGCAGGTGAGTCGAGGAGGCCCAGGAGCTCATGGAATGCCAGAGCCTCATGGCTCTCCCTCCTCCTTCATCGTCATAGTCTGGCCGCCATGTCATAGTTACTTATATTCAGTATTAACGTCTCGCCTCAGGCAAGCACACGGGGAACAGCCTTCGGGCCAAAAAGTTTCACCTTTATTTACTTAAGTTCTCACTGGGTGAAAAATAAATATATAATAGTGCATATATATATAATAATAACTTATACATATATAAGCTAATACACATATACTTTCTGCCTATGTCTTGGTGCTGGAGGTGCGAGTAAGGTTCACGGGTGTTATGAACTGCTTGCAGACACGCAGCAGATTATTTTCCGGCACCACCGGCTGCCCTCTTCAAATAATCATGGCGTGCACAAATGCGTCATTGCCAGATAACCTTATCAAATTTGCCTATCTCCAACCAATGTAGCAGTTCAGTAATGGAATGTAAAGCAAGAGTTATGACACTCAGGAAATGACTTTCTTCTCTACGTGTTAGTACCTTTGTGGTCACACACACACACACACACACCTTTTCTTATTGACTTTGTCCCTTGGTGCAGGCAAGTTGGTGGCTCTCAGTACTAGCACAGTAGTCACCACTCAACCTTTCCACGGGTGTAGAGTAGCTACAGCTGGATTGATAAAACAGCAGCGTTTTAAAGGGCAAGCCACTACGTATATAGTTACACTTCAAAAACTGGCATATTTAAAATGAATTAGTTAGATGAGTAAGGTTAAGTAACGTAACTGTATCCGGATCAGTGGACGGAGGATCAATCCTGCACCATTCCTTATGCTGAATGACCCACACGAGCTTTATTTTTCATATAATAATAATAATAATAATAATAATAACAATAATATTAATATTATTATAATTATGGGGAGCGCTAAACCCGTAGGATTGTACAGCACATATGGGGGATGGAAGGTATTCAGGCTCAATTCAGGGAACCGAAATCAGATCCAATTCCCTAGATCAAGAGCCCCTCACCAGCGTCAAGGAGCCTTCCTTGAGGGGAATATTAACAATAGGTTGGAGAAGAAGAATGATAATAAGAATTAACATTGCCGCCTCATTGAGAGTCAGAAGAGACCAGTGTGTTGGTAGTTCAGTGCTGCAACGATCAGCCACTGAATCAGTGACTAAAAGTAAGGATGTGGAGGGAAGGTTGGCGGGGTAATGATGTAATCACCTGATTGTAGTTACACCGGTCCAGTCTCGGCTCCTGGCCCCTTCTGTCCGCAGAAGACGTAAGTCATGGGTTCTTTAACACCAGCAGTGGCTTAGCGCTTCTTTTTGATTATAATAATAATAATTTAACACCAGCATCACAACTTATAAGCATGGGCTCCATTTTTTAATAGTAATAATAATTTTTCTGCAGTATACATGTAGTTTACATGTAATAAAATATTATTAAGCACATAAGAAAGCTACTAGCATGTGTACATTTCAGGCAGTTTAACCTTCATCTTCTACATTACCAAGAAAAGATGGAAATAGGGGAAAAAATTTCTAGCCTTTCCGTTCCTGTTGATTAATTTTTATTGATGCTTGAATTAGCACTTCACTGTGTGTGTGTGTGTTTCTGTGTAGGTTGTCAGGTAATGTTTTAGCTACGTGTATATGTCATCACCTTGTCAGGTAATAATCCAGTTACATGTGTCTGGTATTACCTTGTCAGCTAATAATCCAGCTAGGTGTGTATGTCATCACCTTGTTAGGAAATATCTTAGGCAAGTGTACATTTCATCATGTGTACTGAGGCATATATATTTGATTTAATTATATAATTTTCGTTTTATATTTTACCCGACTTACAGTTGAATCAATACTACATGTTGAGTACACAAATAACCCGCACATAAGAGAGGGGAGCTTACGACGACGTTTCGGTCCGACTTGGACCATTTACAAAATCACACAATTATGTGTGTATTGTTCAAGTCACGTTACTCTGCCTTTTTGTTATTTACCTGTTGAGGTTAATACCCGTTCAGTCGTTACTTTTTGCTGTTGTCATCTGTGTCTTTGTGACTGTGCAAATTTCACCTTTGCTCTGCATAACTGATAACAGTCCTGCCACCATCCCATCGAGTCATTGTGACTCGGTGGGATTCCCTGGGACCCGACGGCAGAACCTTCTTTTGGTAGTGGAATGTTGATACCGAGAAGTTGTAGATAAAAAGCACTTATGCATTGACCAAGACGTTTCCCGTTGAGTGGCTTCTTCAGTACAATTACAGAGAAACTAAGACGAGCAGAATATATAGTGGCAGAGATCAGGTAAGTAGGTAAATTGGACCAGGAGAGGCGTCTTTATAGAATTCTTTTTCTTGAAGCTCTTAGGAACTCTAGCCCACAATGCTTAAAAAAAAATTGAGTACGTTAATAAATAGACTTTGGTACAGCTTCACTTCCCACCATACTACGTTAATAACTGAAAAATGAGGTTCACGAACATCCTCAATGCAAACAAGAATTCTATTCGCAATAAAGCAAATGAATATCAAAAAGGTATACAATACCGACAAGTTGGTAAGTAAGACACATAGGCAACATTTAGCCATCTTTATTCCGAAACGTTTCGGAATAAAGATGCCTAAATGTTGCCTATGTATATTACTAATAAAGCAAATAGAAATCTTAGCTTCATATCTAGAACTATAAATTTATACTTCTTGATGAACATGCATTTTCTGGTAAATGATATTACACCGATTTTAGGGTAAATTTGTGATGCTGATTCCGAATATGTCATCGGTTTTGCTTGATTGGCTCTAGTTTTTGATAAATTTGGTATTCCACTGAGAAACATAAAAGATTAGAAAAATATATTGATCAGGTGGGGCTAACTTACAAATCGCATTAAAATTATTTTTTTAGATCATGCATAAGTCAAATCATGTAATACATACTAGCACTTCATTCTATATAATAACAGATTAGCATAGTAAGATAATTCTGGCACCATTAATTACTGCACATAAAATCGTTTGTTCGATTTTCTTCTGTCACTTTTATATCTTGCTGGAACCTCTTCCCTTGTTCCTCACTGACCTCGCCAAGATTATGTGGAAATCTGTCTAGGTGGCTGTGGAGAAAGTATACCTTTATGCTCATATTAGTACGTAAATTCTTAAAGCTTATCAGCATGTTTTGCACTAGTTCTTCACAATTGTCTGCTTTGTGATTACCCAAGACGTTCTTGACAACTGACACACAACTGCACCATGCAGAAACTTCAACACCATTCATACATTTTGTGAAATTAGAATCCTTGATAAGCTTTCGAATTTGAGGGCCATCAAAGATTCCAACTTTCAGTTTTTCCATACTTAGTCCAGGGAACGGTCTACAAATGTATTTGAAGCAGTTGCCATCTTTGTCCAAGGCTTTAGTGAATTGCTTCATTAGTCCTAACTTAATGTGGAGTGGTAGCAGAATAATGTTATGCTTGTCAACCAATGGCTCGTTAATGATGTTTGCTGCAGCTACAGTCATGTAGCTGCAGCATGCCACCTTTGTCCAGTGATCTGCCGTCACTCTACTGTCTTACAAGCAGATGAAGCAAGGATACTTTGTATGTCCACTCTGCTGCCCAAACAAGAAGTTTACCATCTTCAGATCAACACAAATAAACATCTTGTGCTCATGATCGCAAAGCTTCTGCAAAACCATTTAGATATTTTCGTATTCTTAAAATTTGTTGAGTGAGCAATTGGAAGAGATACATATTGGTTACCATTGTACAATAAGATACATTTCAAACTTCTAATGGAGCTCTCTATAAACAGCCGCCAATCTCCTGGTCGATATTCAAGTCTCATTCGAAGTCCGGGGATGTTATTGCAGGATACAAGTTCTTCATTTTGACTGAAGTAAGGAAGGAGTTCAACCTCTCTTGTCCAATAAGCTGTTATTGTAACTTGTTGTAGACAGTTCTTTTCGTTTAGTTTGGATACTAAAAGTTCAGATGCTTGTTTTGACAGACTGAGGTCACGTATCAGATTATTGAGTTTTTCTTGGGAGAACTGCTGGGGTGTTGAAATGCTTAATTCATATTCACTTTTACTATTATCACCTGTGTTACTTCCTAAACCTTGACAATAGAAGGTCAGACAGTGTTGTAAACACTAGTATGGGAACATCTTCGCTGTGTGGCACAGGTCCCCTAGGTGACTCCGAATCGGGATATTTCCACTTTCTTGTATCGATTGAAACCTTCCACATTCACCATACAGAAATAACTATCGTCGTGGTGGTTTTTCGGTTCTCTCCACACCATAGGCACACCCAAGTTTAAATTTTTCCTTTGCCTATTTTTCCACTGTCATAAGCATTCTACACAGGTTTTGCAAACCATATGGGAACCCCAAGACTTGTTTTATTCTCCAAGAGCCACTCCAAAATAAGCAAGATTTGCTTTTTGCAAAGAGTATTTGCCACAAATGTAGCAAAATGCATTGGGATTGTTTAAGCAGGCTCTTCGTAAAGACATCAAGTTTCTCTGAAAAAAAAATAACAAAATTAAGGTTACAGTGTTATCAGGTGGCCGTTGTTGACAACTTCTTTTGTTAAATATTAAATCAATTAAAAATAAAATTATAATTTTTATTAAAAATATCTGTATATACAAATTGTCACTACATATACACGCGTTGTTGCCAAGTTCCCTATTAACTGAGGGTAGGTATGTAAATCTCACAAACTAGAGCCAATCTGAAAAACCTACTGACATTTTCGAATTCGGCAACAAGTATCTTTGTCAACGAAATTGTTGTTGTTGTTGACCAGCTTATTCTTCAACTCTGAATATCGTTGATTAGATTCCGTTTAGATTATGCTGCACAGTTCTGGTCATCCTATTACAGAACGAACATAAATGCGCCTATTCGGCAAAGGTGTTCTTTACCAAATTAGCAGAATCAAAATTTGTTTTTGCCATAAATCAGCGAAAATCATTCAGAGCATAACTAAAAAAATAAAATTTATTTGTAGCAATATTAAATAAATTTAAACTGACCTATGTTGTACGTAGCAGAATTTAGGTAAAAGAATTTATGCTAATTTAATATAGGTTATGTGAAATTTCTCAGTTAAGTTTGGTCCAAAAATAAAAAAAAATATATATCGTAGTCAGCGAAAAAATATATCTATTAAT